CGCCAAAACTACTTCATAAATGTTCAAATGGTTGCTAAATTAGAATTCAGCTCCAAAAACTAGCCTCGAAACATGTAAAACTCGAAAAAGTGAACCGAGGTCACCCGAGGTCACCAAAGGTCAATGACCTGACCTGACCTTCAGGTGACCTTGACACCCATCCTAATGTATGGGAGCAACATCAAATCACATGTTTGAACGTTTGAAACCACGAAAAGCTTGCAAACGCGCGGCTAATGCGAGCCGACATACGCCGAATCGCGATTTCGGCCAAACATGGTCACGGAAAAGAGGTCACAGGTCAAAGGTCATTGGGGTCAGGGTCATGAAATTTTCAGGTTAAGTGTAAAATTGATTGATGCGAGGGTACTGAAAGTGTCGTCGCGATCGGCCGCTTTTTACGCGAGTTATTCGCGAAAACCCTTAGGGGGGGGGGGGTTGCATCAGCCCCCCTGTGCCGGCGAGGGTTAAGGTGTTGACCTCGGGTCAAGGTCAGGTCGGAGCCGCTCAGGTCACGAAAATGGTTGAAGGAGGTCATATTGCATATCATTCGATTCGGCAGGTCTTCCTGAGTCCAATGGTGGCTTTCCCGACTCTCTAGCTCCATCTGATCAGGAGTTATTGACGAAAAACTTACATGGCCTTAGTGACGTCATAAATGACGTCACGCAAAGTCCACAATGTTTAAGTCAAGCACTGGACCTTGCAAGGAGTGCATGAAACCATTCCCGGTGCCCGAATAGCAGCTCCCAATTTCCCTTGTTGACTTAAAGTGGTGCTAGATCCTGTATTATACTCAATTATGACGTCATAACTTAACAGATTCACGTCATATATTTAGTGCTTGACATCCAAATGATAGCTTACATATGACAGAGAAGGTATGCAAAGTTTCATGAAGTTTGCTTCACTAGTTGTGGAATAACAAGCAAAAAACTTTTGCGGAAAGGCCGCTGGCCTCTCGCTGGAGCGTTTCCGACCAGTGTGCAGGGGGGCATTTTATCTCCTTTTTTGTTCAATGTGTATACTGATGATTTATCAATGCTTCTCGCACAATGTGGTTTTGGGTGCCACTTTCACGGTAGCATAAATCACCTGTATTATGCAGACGATATGGTCCTTCTTTCTCCTTCGACGTATGGACTACAGAAAATGCTGGATCTTTGTGTTACGTATGCAGATGGTCGATATTAAGTTCAATACGAAAAAGCCGTGTGTATGACAATTCTTCCTAGGAATTTCCGAGAACTGTACGTACCGTCTGTCACTCTTGGTGGTAGTGAATTGAAGTTTGTTGACTCGTGCAAGTATCTTGGATTTCAGCTTACTAACAAAAGCACCAGAGCTGATGACATGGAAATTCATCAACAATACCGTAATTTGTGATGTCGTGCGAATTCTTTGAGTCGAAAATTTGCAATGTGTTCATACTCCGTTAAGAAGTACCTGTATACTACCTACTGTTCAAATGTCAGTTGTATGCACCTTTGGCACTCCTTTCATGCATCTGTTCTAACGAAATTCATGGTGTGTTTTAATAATGCTGCCAGGATGTTTCTTGGCTACGATAGGTTTTGCAGTGCGTCTAATATGTTTGTTCAGGAGTGTTTACCTGGCTTTGACGCGCTGTATCGTAGATCAGTGTGCCGAACTTTGTGTCACGTCTTGCACGATCTTCCAACAGGATTGTGTTGTCACTATTCTTTAGTGACTTGGCCTACACTTCCTTGATAAGGAAAGCATGATCCAAGAGCTTATATGGAAGTTGAGATTGTGTTATATTGGGCCTTGGTGCCCTAGCTGAGTGATGCCTCGTTTATGGACCTAGAGTCTGCCAATAAAGGGATCTCTCTCTCTCTCTCTCTCTCTCTCTCTCTCTCTCTCTCTCTCTCTCTCTCTCTCTCTCTCTCTCTCTCTCTCTCTCTCTCTCTCTCTCTCTCTCTCTCTCTCTCTCTCTCTCTCTCTCTCTCTCTCTCTCTCTCTCCTCTCTCTCTCTCTCTCTCTCTCTCTCTCTCTCTCTCTCTCTCTCTCTCTCTCTCTCTCTCTCTCTCTCTCTCTCTCTCTCTCTCTCTCTCTCTCTCTCTCTCCTCTCTCTCTCTCTCTCTCTCTCTCTCTCTCTCTCTCTCTCTCTCTCTCTCTCTCTCTCTCTCTCTCTCTCTCTCTCTCTCTCTCTCTCTCTCTCTCTCTCTCTCTCTCTCTCTCTCTCTCTCTCTCTCTCTCTCTCTCTCTCTCTCTCTCTCTCTCTCTCTCTCTCTCTCTCTCTCTCTCTCTCTCTCTCTCTCTCTCTCTCTCTCTCTCTCTCTCTCTCTCTCTCTCTCTCTCTCTCTCTCTCTCTCTCTCTCTCTCTCTCTCTCTCTCTCTCTCTCTCTCTCTCTCTCTCTCTCTCTCTCTCTCTCTCTCTCTCTCTCTCTCTCTCTCTCTCTCTCTCTCTCTCTCTCTCTCTCTCTCTCTCTCTCTCTCTCTCTCTCTCTCTCTCTCTCTCTCTCTCTCTCTCTCTCCTCTCTCTCTCTCTCTCTCTCTCTCTCTCTCTCTCTCTCTCCTCTCTCTCTCTCTCTCTCTCTCTCTCCTCTCTCTCTCTCTCTCTCTCTCTCTCTCTCTCTCTCTCTCTCTCTCTCTCTCTCTCTCTCTCTCTCTCTCTCTCTCTCTCTCTCTCTCTCTCTCTCTCTCTCTCTCTCTCTCTCTCTCTCTCTCTAAACAAAATCGATCACAAATTGTCAGCCAGAATGGGAGCAGACCAGCTCTTGCGGGACAGCGCCTGCCGCGTCGGACGGGAGCGGCGATAAAACGGCGCAGCCCGGAAACTCCGGCGACGGCAACTTGCGACTCGCTGACTTGTGTTCTGCGTTTCGCGGCGACGTATAGGTTCATTTCGTTGACGAACGCTTGGGTATGTACAGGGTGTCCCAGAATTACCCGGACATTTATTTTCTGGCTAAAAGTACGATTGCGCCCGATTCTAATGATATACAAGCATCATACTTTTATAAGATATCCCTTAGCTATCGAGCTTGGGGACTGTGTGCTTTTGGTGACCGGTAACGACTCGAGTCAAGTATTATCCAGAGTCAAGTAAGAGTAGTCCTTTTCCGTTTTCAGCTTAAGCCACTAATAGGCAACCATGGTGAATCAACTCCCGTTTTCAACTTTGTAAACGGACATTCGGCATGATTTTTGCTGGAGAGCTTCAGTAGCTCATCTGCAAGCAGTTAGGATTGAGCAAAGCGCTATTATATCAGCTAACGAAGCCAGAGAGAGCAAGAGATAAACCTGATTGACAAGCTTGGGCTCGGCCAAAAAGGGCCATGCACCAGTTGTCAAACGGCTGGTTGCTTGTCATGGACAACAAACGTCACTGATCTAGCTAAAAACTAGCTAAACGATAGATCAGGATTATCTAAAGAACATCAGTCTACTTTCCACCACTATCTTCGCAAAATTTTGGAATTTGGGGTCCCTCGTCTGAAAAATATGCGAAAACTACGGGAAAAGCAGCGAAAATCGTTACAATTCATCCCAAAAATATAACATATACAACAAAAAATTATATTGAAGCACACTTTGTGGTCTAACGAAGGTATTCTGTCATTTGAACCGCCCGAAAAAGGCGTGTGTGAACGTCAGATGGCTACAACGCCCCAACAGCAGAGACGGCCAGGCACCCGTCGAAAATCAAATTGTGAGACATTTTGAGCCACCGTGCACTCATTCGGCTTGATATGATGGCCCAACGACAGCCGTTAGCACAGAGTACTACTGCGGTAATATTCTACCAGTAAAAAAACTGGATGCCGTAAACCAAATGGCCATGAACGGGTTTGTTTTGGAAACCAAATCTGTTGGAAGCCAAAGGTCCCGCCATGTTCAGACATTGAGCTTCTCCACTTCAGATGTAAAAAAACGCGGCAAAAGTGGTGTAGGCAGCAATTTTTGTTTTGGGGGATAATGCCTTATGACCTGGCAACACTTTGATGTTAAGTTTATCTTATATGATCGTATTATCCTCCGGCAACAGGTCAAAGGAAACAGGCCTTCACCCAGTTTCGGGAGAGCCGTAAAACAACTGAGGCCAGCAATGGCTGGCATTTTCAATCATTGTCGGCTGATCTTGTAACAAGCGTATCTATTGCATGTGCTATTTCACAGCCACCCTAGTTGACTATATAGGACGATAAAAAGAAAAAAGCGCAATCATGTTTGCCTTATTTTATACGCTAATTAACAAGGTCCGGGTAATTCTGGGACACCCTGTAGGTAGCAGCAGCGTTACCGCTGGGAAGTGCAGCGTTGGAAGTGCGTATTTTTCCAGATGTTGCATCACAGCTGAGTTGTTAATACGCGTAGTTTAGGATGAATCAAAACCCTTATTCGTTTTCAAATGACGAACTTTGTCAAAAGGCCCTACTCATTCGCAAATGGTCAAAATCTCTTCCAGACGGCCCTATCCTACCTAAGGTAACTTCAACTAGACATTTCCTTAATTCAATGTTATTCATGTGTCATTTTTTTTCGTTTAATCCTGATAAAATTTTGATGTATCGGCTTAGCATGATGAGCCTCACGACAGCTAGAAACTCATCTTTGAAAGGTTATATACATATAATGTAGACCTGTCCCAATGCGTCATCAATTTTGAGCATGGATGGAGAATGTTTGAAAAACTTACCCCGGCCGGCGACCGATAGTCGGAAGAACGATATGCTCACATTTTGTCAATGGTTATCAACAAACCTATATTCTGTTTGAGCAACAACCCGATAAAGCCTGGTCAGTAGGTAGTGAATGCTGAGTAGATCAACATTGACAACATTGGTGTTAGTGCGTGACTGGCATGGTCCAAGGCCAGGTGAGTGATAACGCAAACGTCGCGGTGGTCGGTGACTGTGCGACACTGCGCTGTGGTCGGCGCAGATAGCGCGCCCTATCTGTGGCCCCTGGCTGACGTCAGCGGCGCTATCGGCCTGTACCGACACCGGTCGGCCGGTCACCGGCGGCCTATCGACAATGTAGTGGCCAAGTGGTTACCTCAGAACGCGTCTGTGATCGCAGCAGCCGACCGGTGCCGCGCCGCCTCTGAGCTGCCAGTGGTGGTCTGCGGGGAACACTCTCCTTCTCCGCGCCCGCCGAACGGGGCCGACGGCGTCGGTACACCGCCGTGCACGGTCGCCATAGCGAGTTGCAGTCTGTGCCCCGCTCGGCATCCCGGTGTGGCCGGCGCCATGGCCGCCGGCCGGCTGACGGTCGGTCTGGTCTGCCTGTCGGCGCTGGCCGTCACGGCCGGTCTCGACTGGAGCGGCCGGATGCTGGCCGTCGGGCACACCGACTCGCCCGAGGACCGGCAGCTCACGCAGCTAATGATCGGTGAGACCGACCCCGCGCCATTAACAGCGACACCGCGCTCCGCGGCTCCAGAGCAGCGGCAGTCAAATACCGGCCCCGAAATGAACTTCTGAACTGATCTTACACAGGTTAAGCCAATCACGCAAGGACCAATTGACGAAATTTGTATAAAAAATGGGTAAATGTCTAAAAAACAATTATGCCTCTGTAGCTCACCGTATATGTCAATCTTATCACCGTGCAAAGATACAAAGTTTTTTTTTTTGCTGACCTATCGGCCTAATTTACGTGACCTTTGGTCTGTTTTAACCCTCGCACTTGCAGGAGGTTCTTTCGACCCTCCTGTAAGTGCGAGGTTTAAAACAGACCAAAAGTCAGGTAAATAAAGCCGATAGGTCTAAAAAACTGCCGTCACTGTACCGCCTTGACCGGGCCCAGGTGGCCGTGGCTCAGAGAACAGTGCACGGGTCTCCGGCAGAAGCCGTCCTTGTTTGGCTGCGCGTTTGCGCCGCCTGCTGCTGAGCTCTAGGCTACTCAGCAGCGGGTCATGCTCACGAACTGCGAGCATGAATCCGAAGAGGTAGGACATGCTGTGGAGGCGGCTGTCCTTTCGCGTGTGCTTTAAAGGGACTATCCCACCTTTAACATGGGGTTTGAGTTGAGATAGCCAAGTTTGCGGCGAGGTTCAGAAACCACTATCTATCTAGGTTGCAACCCCCGCGGCCTCTTGGTGTCGAAGAAATTCGTTCCCTTCATTTGAAAATGGGCCTTGCGCAAGGCCCTATCTTCAACATGGGGCGACCGTTAGTGTGACGTCACCTCGTTTAGTCATTCTGATTTAAATGGGTTTGTTCGTTGAAAAATCGCTTAAAACTTGGTCTGAACTTTGTTGTGGTGCCTACAGAGTAAGAAGAATCAGCTTTATGACAGTAATGTACTGGGGAAGGAGGTAATTTTGGGCTGTGACGTCACATATTTGAAAGTTTGTTTTTGGAATATGGGAAGCCTAAGATGTTTAATGAAAAATAAATGCCAGAGCCGTGTTCCTGGTCATCCAATCTGTAAAGACAGGCACAATTTAACTGGTTTTAACAACATTTTAGAAGGTGGGATAGTAAGGTTGCGTGGCTGCTTGTGGCTCGCTTCCAGCGCCTCCTCCGACATGCACCCGATGGGCAGGAGATACCAGCAGGTGACCGTGGCCGAGTGGATCAGGAGCTTGTGCACTGTGCAGTGTCAGGCATGCTGTACCAGCTGTACAGCTCCACGTACATCAGGGATGCTGCCTGCAGATGCTGGCCAGTGCGTCTGGGTTCACTGCGTGTCGGCTGCTCACGGCCTGCAATATCACATCAGCAGCCGCCGAATCAGGTCCCGGTCGAGGTCCGTGGCCCGTGCACGCAGCGACGTCTTCGGCAGCTTGAAAGAAGCGCCGAGCGGTGTTATCGTGTGAGTTACCTACACCGCCGCCCCTTGGTTCGTCCACTCGAAGACCAGTCTTCCCTCAAGCTGTCGTGGACCCGTCGTTTGGCTTCCTTGAGCTGCTGTTTGGCCTCCGGGCCAACTACCAGGACCTACAGTCTCTTATCCGTTGGCGCACACCCCTTATTTTAGGTCTCCAGGAGACCAAGCTAGCGCCAAACGTTACCTTTGCCATCAAGGGCTACTCTGTTTTTAGAAGAGACCTGGACACCCCTACCATTGCCCATGGAGGTGTGCTTCTGGCGGTTCACCACAGCGTACCTGCTCGCCAGGTGCCGCTGCAGACTCCCCTGCAGGCGGTGGCCGCCAGAGTTGATTTCAACCACCGGGAACTGACAGTGTGCTCTTTATACCTACCACCAGGTATAGCGCTCCCGGTGGTTGAGCTGCATCGACTTGTCGATGAGCTTCCACCTCCGGTCCTGGTAGTCGGCGATTTTAATGCCCATAGCCTGGCGTGGGGATGCGACACGACTGGCACTCGTGGTCGACTTTTAGAATCTTTTATCCGCGATGAGGCGCTGTGTATTTTAAATACAGGACAGCGCACCCATTTTACAACACCCTCCGGTCAAACATCGGCTCTGGACCTGAGCTTAGTCAGTCCGCGGCTAGCTCAGCTTTTTACCTGGTCCGTCCATGACGACCCACTCGGGAGCGACCACTTCCCAGTGTGGCTGGAGCACCAGGAGTCCCCAGTGTCAGGCAACCGTCCACCTAGGTGGAATGTTCGGAAGGCCGACTGGGGCGAATTCCAGGCCGCCGTAGAGGCCACGGTTTTATCCAGAGCCGACGCCTCTGTGATGTCTACAGATGATTTTACATGTTTACTCATTGACTCCGCAAACGGGTGCATACCCAAGACGTCGAGTCAGCCTCGTCGTCCTCCGGTCCCGTGGTGGACCAAGGAATGCGGAGATGCGATTCGTGCCAGGAAGCGCGCTTTTAGAAAGTTTGACCGGAGTAGTACTACTGAGAACCTCATCGCTTTTAAGAAAGCGCGGGCTTTTGCCCGTCGCGTTTTAAAAGAGGCAAAGGCTGTTTCATGGCGCACGTACGTGAGTTCCTTAAACCGTTTTACTCCTACGACCCAGATATGGGCACGCATGAAGCGCATTGAAGGCCGGTTCAGCTCTGTTCCGCTTCCGGTTTTAAGAGTGAACAACACGGACATATCCCACCCTTTAGACGTCGCAGAGACGATAGGCCGTGCACTCTATCAGCGCTGCCGAGGAGAGCCGTCCTCACGACCTGCACCAGCCGCCGTGGACTTCAGCACAGCTGAAAATTTGATGTACAATGAGCCTTTCTCTATGGCTGAGCTCACGTCTGCCATCAGCTCGTTGCGCAGCGTCTCAGAAGGTCCGGATGCTGTCCACAACGACATGCTCCGTCATCTCCCAGCAGTTGCCCTCGAGGCGCTGCTAGCAACTTTCAATTCGCTTTGGGAGACTGGCACTTTCCCTGAGACCTGGCGGGAAGCCACTATCATTCCTATCTTGAAGGCTGGCAAGTCGGGACATGACCCTCTCCACTATCGGCCCATCTCTCTCACATCATCGCTTTCAAAGCTGATGGAGAAGATGGTCAATGTGCGTCTTAGCTGGTTTTTGGAACATCACGGTGTTTTTACAAACGCCCAGTGCGGTTTTAGAAAGCACCGCAGCCCTGTTGACCACATTTTAGCCCTTGACACCGAGATACGCACCTGTTTTACTGAAAAGAAGCACCTTGGAGCACTGTTCTTTGATATTGAGGCGGCCTATGATACAGTCTTACGACACAGCATACTTTCCAAAGTATATAAGTACGGCATACGCGGCCGGATGGGCCTCTTTATCAATAATTTTTTATCGGGTCGTCGGTTTAAAGTCCGAGTTGGCAGTGATTTCTCGAGCAGTTTTACCCAGGAGAACGGAGTTCCCCAGGGTGGGGTGCTTAGTGTGGCGTTGTTCGCGGTGGCAATCAATGACATCGTCGACGACCTCCCGGTTTCCATCGGGAGATCGCTTTTTGTCGACGATTTTGCCATCTGGTTTGCTGCTTCAAGCGCTCGACACGCGGCTGGACAGCTGCAGCTCGCCGTAACACGTTTGGAGAGGTGGAGCGGTAAGAATGGTCTTCGTTTTTCCACAGCGAAGACCGTGGCAATGCACTTTTGCCGCCGACGTTGTGACGACCTAGCTTTGGGAATCAAGCTCTACGGACAGGTGATTCCCACTCGGCCGGTGGCGAAGTTTCTTGGGATTTATTTTGACAGTCGCTTGACGTATAAGGAACATTTTAGAACGCTTCGGGAACGGTGTTTTAAATCCCTGAACGTTTTAAAATGTGTTGCTCGCACATCTTATGGGGCGGACCGCAGGACCCTTCTTCTCCTGTACCGATCGATAGTTCGGTCGAAGCTGGATTACGCTTCTTTTGTGTACGATTCAGCGAGCCAATCCAGCAAAAAGGTCCTCGACGCAGTCCATCATGCTGCAATCCGTGTCGCCACCGGAGCATTCCGCACCTCGCCCAGCAGCAGCCTTCTTGCTGAGGCGCACGAGCCGCCTCTATCCCTACGCCGCCAGATGCTTGGCATGCGCTATGCGCTGAAACTGCGTCAGTTCCCGACGCATCCGACGTATCCGTACGTCTTCTCCACCTACTATACTCGACTTGACAGAGCGCGACAATCGCTCTGCTTTGGAGCGCGCATGAGAGGTCTCTTCTCCGCAGCCAACATAGGTTTACGTGTCGTACGACGTAGCTGGGGTACGTCCTCTCCGCCTTGGAAACACGCAAAACCTCAAGTAGATCTCTCACTCTCCGAAGTTAAGAAGGATGACTTGCTGCCTTGTGAGGCGCGAGTCAGGGCCTTGCAACACATCGTCTCGTACGATGGTTTTAACACCGTTTTTACAGACGGATCAAAAACACCTGAGGGAGTGGGATGTGCTTTTATCGCAGGTCGCGATACCCGCTCATTCTCTCTACCTTCTTTTGCCTCGGTGTTTTCATCTGAGCTAGTCGCCATCGAGAAGGCTCTGTGTTTTATCGAGGTGTCGGACGGCCTTTCTTACTTGATTTTATCGGACTCCCTAAGTAGCCTTTTGGCGTTACGGAGTTTTAATCCAGTTGACCCGATCGTTCAAGACATTTTAGCTCGACTTCAGTCAGTGGAACAATCGGGAAAATTTGTTCAGTTCTGCTGGATTCCCAGCCACGTCGGCATACACGGCAACGAGCTGGCAGATGCGGCCGCGAGGCGCGCGGCCGCGGCCTCCTGCACTCGACGTCTGCCATTGCCGGCGCGTGACCTTTATTCGGCTGTGCGATCTTTCATTCTCTCTGAGTGGCAGGCAGAGTGGAGCCTACGTGGAGGCGGAAAGCTCCGTGAGGTGAAGCCGACTTTGGAGCCATGGAGGTCTTGCTTGCAAGACAACCGGTCCAACGAGGTGATCTTGTGCAGGCTCCGAATCGGCCATACATATGCCACGCATGGCCACCTCCTCCGCGGAGACGAGCAGGCCATTTGCAACGGTTGTTCCGCGCCT